GAGCTGTAGTCGTAGTCGACCGTATCGGAGGGAATGTCGTCAGCCTTTTGGTACGACTTCGCCTGCTCCGACGCCGGGAGTTCCTTCTCCGGCTGGTCTATCGAAACTGTCCGCGCCTTTGCGCGCCCAGTTGCAGCGGGCTCACGCTCTCCGTCCGGCTCATTCGCCTGCACCCGTTTTTCAGGGTTCGACTGCTGCGTTCGCGCCCATGGGGTCGCAGTTCGTTTGACTTGATCCTTCTTTGGTTCAGAAGTATCAACGTGGTAGCCAGCGTCTCGGTCGACGGGCTCCGCGTTGTATTGTCCTCGGTTGTGTGGTCGGCCTCTTCCTCGGCCTCGTCCACCATCACCGCGTCCACGGCCACGACCTCCGCGATAGTCACGTCGGTCGTTTCCCGTGTTCCCTTTCCAGGGAGACTTGTCACTGGCGGAAGGCTTTCCTCCGGCAGGTGGAGGGTTGTTACCTCCAGCATCACCGCCACCTTTGTCACCACCTTTGCCTCCGTCGTGATCGCGACGTCTCAGCCGTTTGCGTTCTCGACGAGAGAGCTTTGGCCCTCCATCGTCTGGGCAAATACGCTTGGTGTCTCTTCCAGATGACAAGTCATCATCCATCTTCCGTTTTTCAGGAGTGGGCTTCTTGGCATTGCGCTTTGCAGCGTCAAATGCTCTTTGGTTTTCCAGGGCAAGCTCCATGAGCTCCTTGGATAGGTCGGTAAGCCCGAACGTAGGGTTTTCGTCCAATATGCGTTCCACCTTTTGTCTCAAGGTTTCTCGCAAGACGCCTGGTTTCACCTTGGAGATGAGGATGTAAATAATCTTTTTACGTCGACTATTTCCTTCCAGGTCGCCCAGAAGTGCGTTTTCCTTCAGGAGTCTTCTTGCCCCTCCCAGGAAGCGGACCACTCTCATGGACACGTCCTTTTCGTCGAGGTCCCATTTCAGGGTCGACAACGCATTTTCAGCGTCTGGGATGGCGTTGTTAAGAGGTTTCGCAAGGATCTCATCCATCTTTTTCAAGACGAATTCGTCCGTAGCTACATCTTCCGTAACATGCCAACAGTACTCGATCATGTCATCGAGCAGGTCTGCCGGCTCTGCCAGCGACCGGATGGACGGTATAGCGGACGTGTAGTCTCGCTTCGTCCGCGTGCATTCCTCTTTCAGGTCACGCTTGAACTTCTCCCACTTCTTGGTCCACTCGACCAGAAACTCGGGGGAGAAGCTCGTAAGCTTGGGGGGCTTCACCAGCGTTATGACCGCCGTCCCGTGGGGGACAGCGTCACTGTCACTGATGTCGCTCATCCTGCCCTGGTCGTAGTTTCAGACCAATCGCTCCAACTCGAGTCTTCCTCAGAC